AAAGGTCGGCTTTGTGCAACCGAGTCTGAGCACTTTCTCTTTTGCAAGGGGTCGTTCGTCCAGCTAGCGCGTGCAAAGAGCAAACTACGTGGATTCATCAGCCTGCCAGCCTTGCAGGGCGGATGTCTCCCCCAGCAAGTGACTCAGTCCCTCCAGGACAAAACAATCTGCGGCCCTTGACCATCTGGCCGTTGCACCATGATCACCCAGCACTACAACACCCAGCACCACATCCATAGTGACGCCACTACAACACTGGACATGCCCTCAGTTTCAGCCGGGGTGAATGTGCAAGGCGGTCTCCCACCGACAGAAAACTGCTGTCTGAGGTCCGCGCCCAAGACGGCATCCAGGCCGAAGCCATCTCCCAAGAGCTTCTTCTGAGACCCCGAGGCGTCCGCCCCGAAGATGTAGTCGATGAACTCCGCCGGGGACAGCTTGCCGTCCCCGTCCTCGCGCGACGGGGACCCGAAACCCCGCGAAACGCGCTCGGCACCGGGCGCCGAGCCCGTGCTCCCAGTCAAACGGTCGTGACTGCTGATAGAGATCGGGTTCTAACATGGTTGGCCAATTGTCTTCCCCAGCTTCTAAAAGCGTTTTGATCAACACAAAGGTAACCACGTGTTCTCCCCTAACAAGAGCTTCCCCAGCTTCTTCTTTCTCCAGCCCCTTAGCCCCAAGGCGTTCGCAGTTGCAAATGCGCTGAATTGCCAGAAGAAGACACGTGACGAATATGTTGAGGGAGGCCCCTTCTTGGCCCGAGACAGCCACCCACCCTGAGCCAAGAAAGAAACTCAGCGGATCAGAAAACCTGCGCTGCCAGCGGTTCCTTGTCCAAAGCCTCGAAGAGCTGCTTGCCCTCCTCCTCTGGAACGCCCACCTGACAAAAACTCAGTCCAGTTGCCTGGTCTGCATCCAGTGCCTGTCTGAGGGGGTGCCTGAGCTTAAAACTCAGTCCAGTTTCCGTGTTCAAGCACCCCCAACACGAGTTTAAAGAAGAGACTCTGTCTTTGAACATGCAACCCTTTTGCCCGCCCTGCCTGGATGGTATTGTTTCAGTAAATCTCACTGGCAAGTGATCAGAACCAAACTGAAACAGTTGTTCATCTCGCCAAAGTGATCTAGGCGACCTACTGTGGATGGACGGAATCCTGCACCACCTAAGAAACCCTAGAATGATGAGTTCCCTGCGAACCCCAACAAACCCATGGTTTTGAATTTCGCAACCATCCACAGTACGGACCACGATCCGGCAAGGCGTCCGCGGCATCCGCGGACGCGCAAACCCGCACGTCCGCACCTCGCCCAAGACTGCGAGCAGCTCCTCTTCCGACAGCTTGCCGTCCCCGTTCTGGTCGAAGCGCTTGAAGGTGGACTTCAGCTCATTCACGCCCTCCGTGTCCAGGTTGATGCCGATCAGCTGCCGAGGGTTAAAGGCCCACCTCAGTCCAGCCCGGGAAAAGCGTGGAAAAGTTCACGGCCCCTTGCCTGGCGTTAAAAAGCCAGCCACCAACAACAGCCACCGACCAAGCAAACCAACCAACCAACCAACCAACCAACCAACCAACCAACCAACCAACCAACCAACCAACCAACCAACCAACCAACCAACCAACCAACCAGCCAACCAGCCAACCAGCCAACCAGCCAACCAGCCAACCAGCCAACCAGCCAACCAGCCAACCAGCCAACCAATCAGCCAACCAATCAGCCAACCAACCAACCAACAAACCAACCAACTAACCAACCAACCAACCAACCAACCAACCAACCAACCAACCAACCAACCAACCAACCAACCAACCAACCAACCAACCAACCAACCAGCCAACCAGCCAACCAGCCAACCAGCCAACCAGCCAACCAACAGCCAAACCAACCAGCCAGCCAACCAACCAACCAACCAGCCAGCCAACCAATCAGCCAACCAACCAACCAACCAACCAAACCAACCAACCAAGCAACCAACTAACCAACCAACCAACCAACCAACCAACCAGCCAGCCAGCCAGCCAACCAGCCAACCAACCAACCAGCCAACCAGCCAACCAACAAGTCAACCAACCAGCCAGCCAACCAGCCAACCAACCAGCCAAACAACCAACTGAAACCAAACCAAACCAAACCACAAAGAAAGCAAACAAAACGCAGCAAAACAATGCAAAGCAACACAACGCATCACGATGCAACACAAGCCAACAATCTTACTGAACTATCATGAGAGAACCCAGCAAAACGCCGCACGATGCTCGAATGACGTGCACGTCGCCAAGGCGAGGCTTAATTAAGCAGAGGCAGATTCGCGCCAACGGCTTTTTGCTTAAAGACATCATCGAGAGACTTCAATCGTTGGCCCATCACGCTGGGTTGATAATTCGGCGAAGGAGCAAATGGACAAGCCCAAGAAACTGATCATGCATCAGTGAAGGCAAGAAGAAAACCGCAACAGAATGCCCCAGGCAACATCATACTCATGCAGGCAGCACTATAAAGATGCAGACCCTATGATAATCAATGATGCAGGTGGCCTCACTATGGCAAACAAACCATAACGGCACAGCCCTCATCACTGTGCGGCAGCATCGCAAGAAACTCTGCACGCCATGGCAGCCTGAGGCTGTGACAGTTGTGACTTTTCTGAGGGGTCCATGACATTGACTGCCTCAGGCCTACAAAGAACATTGTGGGCACTTTGCTGGCGACAGATGTAGCGTCATGCAGGCAGCACCATGTTATGGTAAGCGGCACGGACACGCAACATTTTCATGATGCAGGCGACATCATGAAGACGCAAATGGCATGGGCAGCACCACAACGACCAACAAAACACAAAATAATATCGTCTCAAGAACGCACACCTAAAGAACCGCAAAGCGTCTAGCAAACCCTTCGCACAAAAGCCTGCATCCCTCAGAAATCAATTCAAACATCAGGAGCCCCCGAATGCTAATACCTGGTATTAAAATAGCCTACCCAGAACCATGCCAAGAGCTCAACAGGCATGGAAGGTCAAACAAAAAGATTGTCACCATCTCCCCGAATCGGTTTTGAGGACGCTCATGTTCTGCCCGCCTGCCGTTGGGGAACTTCACATAGATCTTGTTGCCTTCCGTGACCCCGTCCACCTCCTTGTACTTGACGCTCATGACCTGCCGGACCCGGGTCAACTTGTCACGTGCCACGTGCAGCCAGGGGCTGGAAATAGGAGCAAAACACTGCATTGTTTGCCTGGTTAGGGGAAAACAAAGGGGGCCCCAAAAAGCACAAAAATGAAAAGGGGAACTAATTCTGGACTGTCAAATAGAGTTTCCTCCTCGAATCTTTGCCTCAAAGCCGGGCAACAGCAAGGCGCCCTCTAGCCCTGTTCGGCCCTTCCCATCAAACCCAAGTGGAGTGGGAAGCCCAGCTCAGTTTTTTGGGATCATCAAGGGCCCAACAACAATCTCACGACGACCCGGGGACACAGCACCCGATGGATTTATGGGGGTGTGGCTTCTCTCCACCCAAAAGAGAACACCTGTCTGGTGGTCAGCGAACGTGTGGTAATCCCTTGGGCGTTGCAACTGTTTGTCTTCAGGGGCCCGCTTTGGAAACACCAATTTGGCATCCAGAAACTGAGGACATCCTTCCGAAAACGATCAAGAAAACCTCCAAACTCGGACGCCCCTCGTCAGTCTACCCACCGGTTGAAAGGGGGATGGCCAGCTGGTCAATCCCAATCCACAATCCGTTTTGGGCCACTAAGTGTGACAAGGATCTTGCAGGTTTCCCCAAGAGGGTCGAAAAGTTGCCATTGACTTCAATCGCCATGGTATTGAAGTGGCAATGGTATTGAAGTCCCTGAACATGGAATTGAAGTGGCAATTCGCCTTGTTTTTGTTGATTGCCTTTTGGAAGTTCTGCAAAAGCCGAATTGGAACCCCCCAACCACCCCCCAACCCCCCAACCCCCCAACCCCCCCAAACCGTTGAGTCTCTCGGCTTCTTCGGCCTGGCCGATGTGGCCCTCCGCAATGTCATCATCAGTCTTGGTCCAGTGCGCCCGGTCCCCGCGCTGAAACGGGAGCTGCTCAAGCTCCCGGGGCTGCATGTTCCAGCACCCCTGTGGCCACTGCACGTAGAGCCGGTTCTCCTAAGCGACCGAGCACCGCTCGCCTTGTACGCAAACTGGCGGGGGGGCAAGTCAACCAAATTTCCCTCTCGCCCCTCCCACTTCGCCTCACCACATCGGAAAGATCCCCCCACCAAAAAAAGATGTGTTTGCTTTTGCTTCGCATTACACCATTGATCTTCCCACGACCATTGCGGCTCGAGGCCTTTCTTCTTTTTACACTACGCGTGTGATTCTGCACAAGTGAGAAAGAACCTTGCGGTACGCTCACAGGGACAACCACTGCATGCTTGTTTACTATCCAGTAGTCTCTACATCCATTACCGGGACATCATTGGATCGAGCACCCCGGCTTGGGACTCAATTGTGTAGCGGAGCAGGTATTTCAGAAGACCCAAATCAAGATGTAATGAGATGGAGAAGGCTTCATGGAGGCCTCTTCCAGCGCAGGCCGAACAGTCGGCATCAGTGAAGAGACCCTCATTTTATCGATGACCTCCAAACAGGACGATTGGACGACACACACCACGATTGAAGCATCCAAGAGAGGACCCCTCCTCAAAAGCACTGCAGATGCGTACATGCACAAGCCCTAGACAACGAGTTGATTCAAGATCCCCGCCGAAGGAGTCAACTACTTCAAGAACACGCCAAAAGAAATACTTTTTGAAGGGAGCGACCAACGTGTATCTTTGCCGGCTTCCCAGCTTCTTGAAGCATCGCCGGCAGAACTCGGAGTTCCTCGTTGTCATGACGTCGGGTCCATGTGCTGTATCGCGCGCGAGCCATTCCGTCAGAAATGGCTTGTTCTGTAAAACTGCAACATGGTGCGAAATGGCGGACGGGCGTCAAGATTCAAGAGGTTGCCGGTCAGGACTGCCTTGATCAGCGCGCCGGCTTTGGCTGGATGCTTAGTCAATTAGTCAATTCATCTGCGTGGCAATCTTCACTTTTTGCACATGTGCAAGGTCGTGCGTCTGTCCACTATTGCTTTCCTTCCGCAACATCTAAAGCTGGTTTCTTTCTGCTCAGGTTGATGGGTTGTCGAGTCGGTTGTGACCAGGTTATTTGCGTCGGTTCAAATGTGCCCGTCAGCAATTCCACCTGTGACCAGAGACCGCGAAGAAAAAGTGATGAACCGTAACAAACATCAGTGGTGGACATGATTATAGCGGTGACCTAGTGCGTCTCCAAATTGATCAGAGAACCCCTCGAGTTCGATGAGAAGGTCGCGTTCTTCAGCAAGAAAGATAACACGCGCGTGGTGGGATGACTTGTCCTCATCATTGCGGTAGGATGCGTCAGGATAACCGATGATGCGAGTCTTGCCATGAGGCCCACAATGGTTGCGCATCGCAAGAACTGGTAACTAATGTGGGGTCTCTAACAAACTGGTCTAACACGCTGCATACATCTGAGGTGTCAGTGGGGCGTCATCCTGCATCTCCTCAAGTCCGTCAATGGCAACATTCTGATGGACGTTGATGTACCAATCGTGCTTGTCGTCATGCTTCCACTGGATACGTTGACCGACAAAAAGGCAACTGTGTTGTCTTCGGGTTCAACTGGAAAATCCTTACAAGGTCGTCCCATGACTTCCGTCTCAAACACATCATCACCGGTCATAAGGGGATTCTCTACGTGAAGAGAAAGTGCTCCATGAACTTGTGTTGCCGGAAACAGGACCCATAAGGTAATCAAGTGCACATGACTCTTGTCGGTATATATCTCTGGTGAGAGAAACCGCTTTACTGTCTCAGGGTGAACAGGGTTTCCTTCAATGTCTCTCGAAGCTGTGAATGATCCGGTGTTGGCACAGATCTTCTGATCGGCTGTCATGAAAGACCAGTGTGCCTTGTGGCTTCTTGGTCATTGTATGCTCTGATCGCATGGTTCCCTGTGAACTTCCAGTGCCCGACAAAGTTGGTACGTGAGGAATGAGTTCATCCTCACTGTCGCAATGCATCGGCAAGTTGGCTGGGTTGTTCGGATTGACACTGGATGAAGAGGCAGGTTTGTTCCTGGGTGAAGAGTCAGATGATTGGTCATCTGGCTTCTTCCCAGGCCTCTGCTTCTTCCGGGCTATGGCTTGGCAATAGGCAACTGTTTGGGGAACAACGCGAGACAAATAAAGGGAAAAAGGAAACAAATGAACCCGTCCACCCACGTGCCAGGCATCCAGGCTGGGAGGCAACGGGAGACAAACGAAGGAAGACAAAGGGAGACAAATGAACCTGTCCACCCAGAAGCCGTGCTGGGCTGCTCTTTCGTGGTCTTCGTTTTCGGGGTTTACTGGTTGCGGTGGCACCACAGCAGTCGGTAGAGATGGCTGCGGCGGAGGCGGCGAAGAGACATCACTCCCCAGTCATTGCTGCTGTTTGCCGCGGCTTGTGATGAGTTAGCCATGGCGGATCTACTGAGCTGGCTGGTGACACACCTGGTTGTTGATTTGGCGATGGCATGGGACGATTGGGTTCATTAGGCACACGCGGGGGATTGTGAGGAGGATCCGACATGCATTTATTATGAGGCTGCTGCGGTTCATCCGGAGGATCCGGTGGATCTGTCTCAATTCAATGGGCATTGGTATGATGAGCCGGCGCATCTGAGAATGGACTGTGAAGAGATGAATACATGATCGCATGCGAAGTTCTTGGATCAAAGTATTCTTAATTGCATTTGGACGCAGGCACAAATTCAGGTCACCTGATGAAGTTGCCAGAGAGCTACGTATGCGTTGGGTGGACGTGTGCTGTGCATTGGTCACACTGAGTGGATGCACGCGCGAGGATCTCAGCTTCTTGCAACCGTTCCACATGTTATGACAACGCCAGTCATTTGGATCTTGTCTAAAAAAAGGTCAATCTCAGTGATTGGCGGGTAAGTGGTACGAGTAGACCTGTGCCAGCTTGGTTCTGCTCTTGAAGGTGCCTGCATTGTGTTCAGGTTGTTGGTGCTCGTGTTTCACCAAGCTGGTGAAATTACTTCAAGAGGTAGACAATGCATCAAGCTTGTTGGCTTTAGGCTTCTGAGCACTGATTCAGGATCTTTCAGCCCGTACGCACTACGTGCAAGGTAGGTGCCAGATCTTGGGTGTCTGTTGATTTTCGGTGATGAAGTTATTTCCTGCGCTTGTTGGATGTTCTGATGTTTGACCATGGACCGCACACTGGTACCGTGAGGATGACATCAGGCCTTTGTCCTTGATGTTCTCCCTGACCATGTGTTGTCCCTTGGATGTCATTACGTCAAACCCGTTGCGGATGTCGACAGATGTTCCAACCTTTAGACCTTTAAGGGGCGCAGCGTTGGCTGAATTTTGCACTTCCTGCAAAGATCTCGAGAAGATAGTTTTTCCTTCGCATACACAATTCCAATGCGCCAGCTCGGGAGTGGTTGTGAGATCCTCTACAAACATGTTCCCCGGCCATTTTTGGTGCTGCGCGTATAGGAGTTGTTCTCCCGTCGATGCGTCGTGGCCGTGAAGCGGACGGTTTGCAACCCGGCATGGATGACTCTTTTCCTCTGGAATCGGATGAGGAACTCCCTTGTTCCTTCTGAAGAGATTCCTGCTCATCGAGCAGCAAAAGATCAATTCCTGGTTTTCCAGGTGGGATGGTTTCATCCTTTCTAACCTTTGTCCAACTTGATGAGTCGGGTTCCGAGATCAAGTCCAACCATTGCTTCTTCGATGGAAATGATTTCCCCTTTGACCATGACATTCATGTTGCACGCAACACATGTTGACGACTTGCACAAGATCTTGGCCGAAGGACTCAAGCCCGGAGTGAAGTTTGATCCCAAGGCCGGCAGCATGCTAAAGGGCTTGCATTGACGATGTCATCCTCAACAATGATCCATCCGCATCCGCATTGCAACATGCTCCAGCAGCAGCAGGACGAGACGCAATCATCATCCTGGCATTCACACCGGACAAGGCTTAGAACCTCAGATCTCTGGAGAGCGGGACGGCACTCACAGACCAGAACATTGATCCTCAGAACATCATTGCTGCATACTCCTCAAATGGAAAACGTGCCCAGCAAGGATTCTGAATCCTGCAGCAAAGGCTCGAGCAAGAAGACATGGATCAGCACATCACCAAGATCGAATGAATTCGCCCAAGATCGATGAATTCTCCCGATGGAGAAGGAAAATCGAGACATTCCACCGATCCTGACAAACCAATTGCATCCCGTCAGGACAGATCCATCAGGACCAAGATCCATGTGATCCTGATAATCTCCTCAAAACTTGGTTCATTAACAAGCTCACGTCCGTCAATCTCACCAGAGAGATGAAACGGGCAAGAAGGAAGTAGGAGAACTTCTTCTCACTCATGGATGAGAAGTACAGGACGAACCCACAATCCTTGCGCTTAGATATCAGCGCACGCGAGCCCGATTTGCGCGCACATGTCGATCCGTCCATCAACTACGATGAAGAGGAATTCTTTAGTCGTGAAAAGGACGATCCACCATCCACTGAGGAAATTCAAGCACGCTTCCAATAAGCCTGTCCCAGGGCAAACGCAGGACACCACATATGCATCAGCTGAACAACCTAGAGATGAAGGACATGCCCGACCTCTGAACAAGATGCCCCTTTGCAACAGTGCACACATCCTGCGCACCAACGAAGCAGACGCATTCTTCGAGGACGCCACCAAGGCGAAGGAACTCATCCTCGTGTTCATTCGCCCTGGACACACGGGCATTGTTCTGAAATCATGGACAGCTCGGCCGATCGCATGCTTTGTTCGCGGCAACCACAATGCCAGAGTTCAACTCTTGGCACAGTGCATTTCCGACAGGGCCAAGCATTGGGGATCATCGTTCGGAGTATTCAGATGCTACTTTGGCACCACATCACGATCCTGAGTACAAACTTCCTGCCTGGCCACTGGTAACTACATGTTCTCGAAGGAATGCCGCCGGGAACACCTTCACCTGCACCTGCCTCCTCGCACATCCATCAAGGCATACGGGAAGAACCGGGAGATCATCACCATCCACATCGAGAAGAAGAATGATTTCCAGGGCGAATTGTTTTGAGGCTTCGCAAGGTGCCGCGCAGGACTATGACATGCTTCGGCAGGACTACCTGTTGGAACGACTGAGGTTTTCCACATCCCTCCAAGTTGCTGACAAGGGCTCCAGCGTGACGCAATCACCAGAAATGGCAACACCTACTGGCGGACAATGGTCTACTTCACCATGCTGTCAAGCTTGCCACCCAAGCAAATGACGTGGAGCGAAGGCCTTGATTGAACCATGGACACTTCCACCAACATGCTGTCCATCATCCGGCATGCGCTGCGCACAAACACCGGGTCCGACTACGACACGACTTTTCCAGATTGTATGGTCACATTCGTCTTTGGCTGGGGAAGAACACAAGACCAACAGGCGTTCCAACAAACGAGGGTACGACACCAAGTTCGAAGTCTCACAACACCCGAGTCATTGCTGACTATCAGCTTTCCTCAACGGAGAGGTTCCAGCACCTCACCAGCGAGATGTTCATGAATGGATCAAGTGACGCTGAAAAGCACCTCCCGCTGATGTGTACATCCGTAGCCGGTCCGAAGCCAAGCAGAGAAACATCCAGAAGACCAAGAACCACTACAGCAAGAAGAACACTTGGCAGTCTTGGAACTAGAAGAAGAACTACAAGGTTAATAGGTTAATGACTACTACGGGCTGCAGAACCCAGATCGTCAATCCTGGGTGGACTATTCCGCAACCGCATCGGATGGCAGCTACCAGTCCTCCGATTTCAGCCAGCATCAGTCAAGAAAGATGTGATGCCTTTTTTAGAAACGACTAGGTGTCTCTTTTCCTTCCCCCATCATGTGTGCGGATTCGAATTCCCATTGCATTGCACCTGTATATATTTTCCAGTTGCCGGACGAACAAAAATCCGATCACATCAAGAAGGTGATCTGAATTCCGCATAAATCTACTTGAAAGGGCTTCGGCACAAAAGGCCAAGCCAGCAAAAATGTTTACTCAGTTTGGTGTGGAAGATCACAGGAAATTTATGTCTGTTTTATGTTTGCTTTTGCTTCGCATTACACCATTGATCTTCCCACAACCATGTCGGCTCAAGGCCTGTCTTCTTTTCGCACTACGCGTGTGAATCCGCACAGAGAGGAAGAACCTTGCGGTACGCTCACAGAGACCACAGCATACCTATTTGTCGGAGACATCCAGTAGTCTCTGCATCCTTTATGACTTTATGAGGACATCATTGGATTATCTTGAAATAGCTCCAGGGACCCTGGCGAACCCGTAGCCACAACTGGTGCTCCCTCCTTAGGGATCGAGCACCCCGGTTTGGGACTCACCCCCCCAAAAAAAAAACAGAAAAAGGAACAGAAGCACCGTCCTACTTCCAAAAAACAAACCTACTCCCCCCCCTCCAACAAAAAACGCGCCCTGCTCCTTCCCCCCCCCCCAGACCAAAAAAGAATAACAAAAATCGAAATACCCACAGCGTGCAAGGGGCGTCGCCGGAGGTTCGGACCACCTCCCCGATGTCGTTCTCCGGGATGTCCTCGTCCTGCTTCTTCCAGAGCACCCAGGTGCCCGGCTGCAGGCCGTGGGGCCTTAACTCATTCGCCTCGTGGGGTTCGACGTTGTTCATCAGCCAGCTGAGGTGGTTTCAGCGGACCGGAAAACCCGCGGGGGGGGGGGGGGGAAGGCTGAAGGGCGAGGAAAACGAGAAAAACACGCGGTAAAGGGGGAGTGACAAGGGGGGGGTGCTTTTGACACTTGACCTTTGTGCAATATTTTAGCTTAAGGCCGAATTAACTGCCCCCGGTTTGGGACTCAAGGGGAGGGGGGTTGGGTGGGGAGCGCGGGGGCCTTCGGTGTCGCAAAAAACAGAGAGGAGACAGACTGTTTAGATATTGGGGGTGTTGCTTTTGGTTGGGCACAAGAAGCAAGCAGCAAGCCCCAACAGATACACAGAATGTGTCTGCACAAGTAAGCTGAACATTCGCCGTCCGGATGGAAACCCAAATGTACTGTCATAATTTTGCTAGCAAATGCAACGACCATGTGCAGTTTTAGTTGGCGCAACCAGCTGTCAAGGCCATTGCAAGGCGGATCCCTGGCTTCTTGCGACATGCCTTCAACTCTTCGCCAAATTGGCGGAAAAAAGGAAAAACCGCCGAGCCTCAACTGCAAGCATTGGTGTCCTTTTGGTAAAATAGATGGCCCTAGTACATGAAATAAGGCCAATCTACACCAGTGCCATCTATTTCTGAGCAAACTAACCTAAAAAGGGACACCTATGCCTGCGAGGCAAAAAATAATAATATTTGTTTTTAAAAAATGGAGAAAACAAAAGAAGAAGCAAACAAGTGGCAAAAAAAACGCCGCGCCCCAACTGCGAGGCGGAAAAAGAAGAAGAAAAAAAAAAGTCGATCAAAGCCCCGAGCCGCGAGCCGCGCCTTGAAGTTCCAGCAGCCCTTGGGGAACGCGACCTGCAGCCGGCCCTTGGACACTTTCACGCCGATCACCTCGGATCGGAAGCTTCGTTCAGAACTCCGGGAACGCATCCCGTTCATTTTTATGTTTTTACCACCTGGCTGTGGCTCAAAAAACCGGTACCCAAAATGGAACCCTGGTAAGTGGAAATATGGACCGAAACCTGCGTAACCCCTCCTGTTTAATTTTGAGCCACGCCCACCTGTTGTTTCTCCTCCATGGGCAAAAATGTCCCCTGAAAATAAAACCAATGGGAAAAGAAAAGATACACTCTTAACCAAATCAAAGCTTTCCGTGCAGAACTCCCCGTTGGCCGAGTCTGGTTTTGGGCCAAATCTCTGGCTTGCCCGGTGCTCCAGGCCTTCCAGTTCCAAGAACCAGCGCGTTCAAGCATCGATCAGCTGACATCAAGTGGCTTGGGTTGGTGGGAGCTGGGAGTTTGAACCCCAGCTCCCCTTGAGGCATAGGCCGTTAGGTCCAAAGCGCCAAACCAAGCCCCAAACCAAGCCAACGATAAACCAAACCAAACCACCAAAAACAACCCAAACCCTAAACAAACCGAACCAAGCAAAACCAAGCCCACACCCAAAAAAAAAAACGCGAAAAACCACCCCGCCCCACCCCGAAATGCCCTCCTTGGCCCACTTCCCTTTTAATTCCCCGGAGCGCCCGGCCGAGGTCGCCCTTGGCCACGTCCTCGTCGCGCTTGCACCACGCCACGAAGGCGCCTTTCTGCAGCTCCGTGTGGAAGAGCTCCGCGGGTCTGAAGCGCCAGGTGCCTTTGGCGAAGGTGACCTGCCCGGGCTGAATGGAATGGACCCAAACCTGCGGCTTGCCCCCCTCCCATCGTTTAATTTTGAGCCGCAGCCTGGGCGAAAAGGTCTGGTTGTGGCTGGGGCTGGGTTGTTGGGGGTAGGTTTCCACAATGGAGATCTCCAGGGGTTACCTCCCTCCCCCAATTCCAGTGTTAAGGGGCTGGGGATGCATTCCCTTTCATTCTACGGGTACCTTCCATTTCCATTCTTGCCAGGCATCCTTCTTTCTAAACAACCACCCAACACCCTGGGTAAACAGCGATCGGTTTTTGAAAAGAACGATGATTGAAAGAATGGAATTGGAATCAACCCCTAGATCTATGGTGTTGAGATGGGGCGGGAGTTTTTCGTTGGGAATTGGAACTTTTCAGATGGGGCTTCGGGAAGTCCAACTCAACATCCTCCCCGGCCCCCGGCAAACAAAAAGACGGCTTCCTGTTGGTATGGTGGAAGGCAAAGCTTTGGCCTGGCGGTGGAAAGCACAAAAATGACCCTGTGTCAGAATGGTGAAAGCCTTGCACGGCCACCCTGACGCTGGGACATTTGGGGAAGAAGATTGTCACAAAGGCGTGACGGCGGTGGGGTTTGTACCTGTAAGAGCGGAATGGCCATCCGCTAATGTCTATAAGGAACTGAACTTACTGCAAGAAAGGGACCCTCTTCCACGCATCGATCGGGCCGAGGCCAATCTGACACATGTGAGTTGGATGTTTCGCCTGAAGCCACTCAAACTCGAGCCCCTGCTTCAAACAAGAAAATAACATCTCTCCTTTGGCCACCGACTTTCTGGGGGGAACAATTATTGTTCCCTTTAGAAAGCTTTTGAACCTTCCGATTTCTTGCATGAAGGCTCCCCCCCCCCGCCTTGAGGCGGCCTTTGTCGTTGAGGTCCCCCGTCACCACGCCCAGCTCGCCTTTGGCCTTGGCTGGAAGTAGGACCCCAGCTAAAAAAATATATATATATAATATATATATATATATATAATATATATATATATATATTTTTGCCTGGTCAGTGGAAAGCAAAGGGACCCAAAAAAGCAAGACAAACTCAAAAGGGGAGCTAATTCGCCACAACAAAAAATAATCATAAAGAAACAAAAAAAACGCCCAACAAAAAAAGTGGCGATGTCCTCGTCATCCTTGCGCCACTGCACGTAGGAGCCCTTCTGCACGTGCGCCCGGATGAGCTCCCCAGGACGGAAGCGCCAGCACCCCGCCGGGAACTTCACCTTCACCCGGCCCTTCTCCTGGGCGCCGCACGTTTGGCGCAGGGAACGGGTCCCACTGATGTCCGGAGAAAAGGGAAAAAAGAAAGAAACGCCCCCTCTGGGTGGATACACACCCTCAAACCAGAGAATCAAGTACCCTCCAGAATTGGTGGACTTTTTTTGATCCCCGCAGGGACGGGGAAATGGGAAAAAAAGGGGGCCAAAGCTGACTTACGGCGAGCATCGTTGAGTTCTTCGATCACCTCCCCCATGTGGTCCGAAGAAACGTCCTGGAGCACTTTAACGGGCTGAGCTCCCCCAATTGGGCCTTCGTTTTAGGATCTGGACCCCCAAAAAAATGGCTTAAAGCAACATTTCAAGCTGCAAGAAGGAGATCCCTTAGCCCCTGCAAGGCCCAACAACTCCCACATCTGGCGGAAATTGCAACTTTCGGCGGGTACTACGGCCACACGAGAAGAAAACACAAAGAACACATCCACATACACTTCTCTCCCTGGCAGGTTCAGGTCGCGAACATCTCGCTGGAACCCCTTTCTTGCCTTGTCCGACTTGGCCCAGTACACAAACATCCCCGGCTGGAAGTCGCAGCGGATCAGGTTCTTAGGCTTCTCGCTGACGGTTTCCCCCTGGATCTCCACGCTCAGCTGACCATCCTCCCAGTCCTTAACCTGCCCAATGACATCCGCGGGCACCTCGTCCCGCGTGGAGTGGACGAAGGTGCCCTTCCTCCGGCGAAAACCGTCAAACCAAAAAAACTCGGAAGGGTGGCATTTGCACTTCACAGCTGCATGCATAGGTGTCCTTTTAGGGGAAATAGATGGCCCTGGTACATGATCAAGCCACCAGGTAAACCGCCATCTATTTTTCTAGCAAAACAACCAAAAAGGACACCTATGGCTGCATGGCCCTCGGATGGCACAAACTGCGAACTGCCAAACCCCCGGCCCAAAACACCAGCCATGCTGAGACGCTGGAAGTCGCAGACGTTGAGCTTGGCTGGATGTACTTTGATCTTGCCGCCCGTGAACTTTGCCTTCACCATGGGCCCGTCCTGCAAGGTTCCCCTGCGCCCAGGGACACTCGAAAAAAATTGCCCATAGCCCCGGCAAAGCAAAAGCCGACGAAGAGGCAATTAACTGCGCAACCGCAAAGGAAGCGTTGGGACCCCGTCCTTTGCATAGACCACCCCTAGAGCCCCTCGGGGGATGTCGTCGTTTTGGGACATCCAGTACACGTATGTGCCCTCGGTGATATCTTCGACATCATCCGACTCGGCCATTGCAACCGCTGCAAATGGTATGTTGAGGCCAGAGGGCTGACACGACTTGAGCAACAAGTCGCGGTCCTACAAGCCAACCCCACTTCCGCCACTACAACTCACTTCAGTGGCCACAAAAAGTCCAAATTTGATATTGACCAATTCAATCGTCCATCCCAAAAAGCTCAAAGTCCGTGAGCTCAAACTCACTTTGCCGTGACGCACCTGCTGAACCCCTGAGTTCGACAGTCGCAGGACAGCTAGTAGGAACATTGGGGTTCAAGATCTGGTTTACCTAGTCCCAAGCTTTTGTTGCCGCACACTGCAGGACGCTGCTCTTGCCGAGCCAAGTGAGTCATAATCAAAACCTGGCATTGAACTGGTCTGCCCAGAACCATGTAAAGACTTAAGAAGACTTAAGGTTGGGACTGTCCTTCACCTACCCGCGTTTTGATTGTGGCTCAAGTGCTTTCTACACTCAGACTTGCTCCCATCATTCCAGCTGCCGCCACTTCCTGCTGATCGAGGTGCACGAAGGGCCTGCGGAGCATATGGGCATATGGAGTTTGGCTTTCAATTCTGATGATTGGAGATATGGTTTTCTTCAAAAACAAAATCGGTGCAAACAAAACTGCGGTTTTGGGCGAACACGGAGTAGCCCAGGGAAGCAAATATCCACAACGTTGTCCACGAAATGAACACAGCACCCAGTCACAAAACTCAATGGAGGGGGATGGCGATCAAGTTGGGGAACGTGACAAAGAAGTTGAAGTGAATGGGTAGCGAAAACAGGATATTGCAATTCACAACCAAGCCCAAGAGGTCCACGCCGAAGAACCCTAACACCACCTAGTACCGGTAGGCCACGGCCCCAAGCCCCTACGACTCGAGGACGAAGACGACCGACGTACTATGGCGCCAGCACGGTTTTCCGCAGACAGTTGACGGGAGGTTGAAAATCTTGAGCCAAACGGCCATTCGGCCGGTTTGCTATATGAAGAAACAACATGTGAACGAGAGAAAGGATGCATGACAGTTGAGTTCACGACGAAAGGAACCTACCAAAATGCCAGCGTCAACTCAGAGGTGAGCCAAACGGCATCACCTGGGCCCCAGTTAAAATCCCGACACCACCCCGAATTAGCACCGCCGTTGGCGGCTGCGTTGAACTACTACCCGTTTTCGTTGATCTTCAACGTGGTTTTGGTGGTATGACTTCCGTGGAAAGCGGATCAATCACGGGGGCTGGGGCTGAGAAAAGCCTACCTACCCCCCCCCAGCGCCTCCATGCTGCAGTTCCCCTACCCCGTCACCGGCCGCGTCAAAACCGTGGCCAACATCCTGCACAAGAGCTTTAACGGATGGGTCTCCAAGCTCAACGGACGCGCAGCCCTGAAGGCTGCCCGCTTGCGCGATGTGATAACCGGGGAGCAGGTAGAGACGATGATCAATGGTCTCATCAAGTGCGACAAGTACGACTCCTTCCCGGAGGATGTGAAGACCAAGATCCTAAACTACCGGAGAGGTAGAGCGGCTAACATCGTTGCCCTACTCAAGGACTCCGGGTTCGTCGCAACCGAACACAATGCCCTAACAGCTGCGGCAATTCTGTGCGACGCGATCCCGGTCCGTGGCTCCGCCACTCATTACATCCCTGATGCCCGCATAGCGCTCGGAATTGATGAGGCCAACGATGTCGACCCAGCGGTCTACCCCTGCTGCAAGCCATCCGGTGGAGGATGGGCTTCGTCCATCACGAACGCGGACGGGGAGTTGAAAAACAGCTGGAGGACGGAGTATCTGGCCGTGAAGCAGAATCAGTACAAAAGGTACGTTGGATTCACGTACGACTGCTGCAATATGGCTGATCCACGCCGTTCCCAACACACGGGGGGCATCAGCAGCCTCACTCAGTATGAGCCCTCAGTTGTGAGGAAGTGGCTGCAAATGCGCCCTCTTGCTGCCATTGATGGAGGCCTACGGCGGGTTTGGTGCGTTTGCGGAGCACATGACCTCTGAGCTGAAGGTCGCAACTGTGCTTGATCAGTTCTTCCTATGGGAGAAAGTTGAGAGACTCGCCACCCCCGGAGTGACGAACGTGGCCCATGACAACGGCATCACGGCGAGGGATATTGGATCGTCCCGTCTTTGTCTTCCGTCATCAACGCGGGCTCTCCGAACTGGAGCTCCTGGCAGCAGGGGAGCATTGAAAGTAAGCTCTGGGCCCATGGACTTAGCCAGTTCTCCCTCTGGTCATCAATTGCTCACGATGGTGAGCTCAGAATCCGAGGACAAACTTGGTATCTGGACATCGCTGATCTACAGTCAGGCGCTCGGGTACACCCCGTGGGCGCACTACGGTCAGGGAGTATGGGCTCATCTGTCCTTCATGCTCCCCGTGGACATTGCTAGCGGCGACAATCCCCGCAGTGACAAAACGCGGCGTCTCATGCTGGCCCGCGCACCCGTCTTCGCTCTCGCTATCAAGTTCTCTTACGACTTGGAGAAGATCACGGCCGCTGAAGGGTTCTCCACCTGTTATTCAAATGGAGACAGTGAGTTGCAACGCTTCAACCCTTACATTGAGGTTAACCCATGCTCTCCATCGATCTCCTAGAGGAAACTCGCTTTCTTTCAGCCCAATGCTATCGGGGAGATCGGAGCGACAAGGCGCGAACTGGAGCGAATGGCTGCTCCGGCTACCCCTACGAAGACAGGTGGATTCAGCCTGGAGTTTGCCAAGCACCGGCTTGTCCACAACTCGTATGCGGTGAAGGCGCAGGAGGCCGGATCCGGCATTGCGTTTGCGTTTGAGAATGAGTACCCGAAATTTCCTGGGTACATCATGGATGAGCACTTCGCGCCATCTACCATCTTCCATGACATTGATAAGATGATCGGGAAGTACAAGCAGGAACGGATCTCAAATCCCGGAAGTAGTTTGAGCAGGCCCGTGACCTCGCATCTGACCACATATGACCAGAGTGCCCTCGAAAAAGAGTGGATCGGTTGGGGAAATCAGATGTTCAGGAACGTCATCCTGACCGTGTTCCCGGAGTTCGCCCTCACGTGCATCGACGAGAATCTCCCGGCTATCACATCGGTTTTGAGGGGCCTCTTGCCCATGAGCACCACGGGTGTTACTGGTGTTCTTGCTGCGATCGCCGCGGGATGGGGACCTCCAACTTACCTGGAGGAGCCGGAGATTAAGTCCAAGGCTCAGGTACTTGTGTACTACGATCTCTGCTTTGCGTCTCGCGGTAAGTCCAAGAAGGGCTCGTACATCACGACGGCCGAGCTCGATGCCCAAATGGATCTACTCCGATCTACTGATAGTGGACCGCGGAAAGGATCCGCCCCCAAGATCCAGTTTCACTGCCCATATGAGGGTCACGACTACTACATCCCCATTGCCACCTTGGCCGAAGAGGCTTCACGGCTCATCCATGACCGCTACAACGCGGTCGGAAGGGAGGCCATGAAATACGACACATGCGTCTTTGCCACTCGTCTGCATGACTTCGCTGACTTGGGATGACAAGAAGAAACTGTCAGTCGTCAAGAGCAATGCCCGGACCCTCATCCATGTCATCCTTGAAAGGCTTGAGTCGGTGAGGAAGGCTGGCTCGAACGTGGTAATCCTCATCTCTGTTGCATCGTGGCTTCAACCCGAGCGCAACCCAACCATGCTTGGTGTTATCACGACTTTCATCAGGGAGGCAATGAAGAGAAACCTGCTTGTGGTCCCTGCGGACTTCGCTTTTTGGGGCGATTACTGCACCGGCAACACTGGTGCCCCCGTAGCACTTACCGCGCTGGCCAGTGCGGCGGTGGATATCTCATGGACGCTACACCGCGTCATGAACATGACCAATGCGGCGAAAACTTTGGGCCTGCTGTACAAGAAGACCATGTATCCGCCCGATGATGAAGCGAAAGCGAAGGCGGAGAAGATCCTGCAAGCCAGGGTCTGGGATGACTCTTTGACCTACTCTCCTGGGGGGAAAAGCTCCGGTCCACCACCTCAGGATGTGGAGATGACTGATGCTTCCTCTGAATTAACACGGCCCCCGCACAGGTGGTGCCTCCCTCCGAAGCAAAAGCCCCCGGAATGAAGCCCCCACCGCTACGATCCGTCAAGCCAAACCCAAGAACCCCCCACCGACGACAAAGCCGCCTCTGGCACGCCCTGCCTCACCACCGAAATCTTCGCCCGGTACTGGGACAGGGTCGTACTTATAACTTGAGTTATAAGTTACAACAAGTGGACTTATAACGTGGGACAAGTGGACTTATAAGTTTGCTAAGTCCGAGTCCTAGTTATAAGTTACTTGTCTAGGGGTATCTTAGATACGCCCACTTATAAGTTCGAGCTAAGTTCCGGGTGCCGGGACTTAGAATGAACTTAGCTGGAACTTAGTTTTTTTGCACCATTTTAAGAAAAACAGCTTTTTGGCATCCAGCGTTTGCGGAGCAATGCCCAAAACGAGTTTGCCTCGCTGAGTTTTGACGCGCGTCCTCATGCGAAAAAAAGCACGCGCGCTTTACTCCTGACGTGTCGCAGAGCACATCGCTGAACGCGAGTCCAAACCTTACACCGGGCGATGCGTGCGAAGATTTTTTCGAATACGACAGGTCGGCGTATCGCAGCGGCTGGTCGGCTCAGACTGCACTAGGCGCGCGCGCATGCAGTTTACGCTGTTTGTTCGCGCTGCTTCGCACATTTGGCTTGATGGAGCCGGAGCATTTTTTGCACTGATTGACTCGGTTGAATTTTGTTGTGCGATAATCGTTTCTATAGCGGTGTCTCCGCTGGCGGCCGGTCCGCCTTAATATAGTCGCATGGGGTATCTCCGCCGGCGGCCGGTCCGCCCCTTTTGCTTTTCTCGTTTGATATAATATCATTGTAGCGGTGGTTCCGCTGGCGGCCGGTCCGCCCAGCTATTTTTGCCACGTTCATTTTCATTTCGAGATGGCACTTGAAGCGGTTGTCCGCTGGCGGCTGGTCCGCCCAGGAATTTTTCAGCGTTGATTTTTATTTCGAGATGGCACTTGAAGCGGTGGTCCGATGGCACTTTGCGATTTTTTG